TTCAGTGTTTAGACAGGGTCGAGTCCGGGACTCCAGGAATTACAATAATCTGATAGTAGTTAAAACAAAATGAAAAACCTTGAACTCAGCTCTTTTTTCGTGTGTGTTAAATGAAGTGAACATCAGAAAAAAGTAAAGACAAAGGTCATCATGATCTTACACAATAATCTCACAGAAACAAGCTGATTTTTCATCCATTTGTCTTTAATTACTTCTGCCACAAGGAGGTTATGTTTTCACCCACCCGTTTGTTGGTTTGTCGGTTTATCAGCAGGATTATGCAAAAAGTACTGAACCGATTTGCACCAAACGTGGCAGAGGGATCGGGCGTAGGACAGGGAAGAACCCGATCCAGTTAAAGGGACAGATCGTGGAATTTTTACCACTTTCATTAACATTGCAAGTTAGGACATTTTTCTACATTTTCGGTCAATTTCTCAGGAGATAATGTTTGGATCTTGATGTAAAAAAAATCAGACATGTTAATGGTGTTGAGATCTATGTGCTTGTGCAATTTGGTGCAGATCTGGTGGAAGAAAATGGTTGGTAGGGCTTGGTAGAGGTATGCGCTCTACTGAGTGCCATTCAAGTTTACAAAGGAAAGGAGAAAAAAAAAGACTCAAAATGAAGTACAGGTGGGAGCATGTCCGTAGTGCTGAGAATGTGTTCCAAGTTTTACGTTATTTTCTTTACTATCCAAGTATCTAAGAGGACGTGTGTTCTTTTCTTAGATAGTATCCAAGAAAATGTGTTTTCTTAGATACCATCCAAGTATCTAAGAGGACCTATGTCCCATCTTAGATACCCATATAGGTGATAGTGAAGCTCCCTTTCTCTTTTCTCTGTGTGTCCGCCCTGTTTTTGGTATCATCGCTCAGCCCGAGCAGGACAAACATGTCTGAGATAAACAAAAGTGTTTGGGTTCACCGTCTGATCGCTGGAGGAAGAAAAGTCGACACAACCTAAACATTCCCATCTAGAGAGGATATCCCTCTCTCTCTCTCTCTCTCTCTCTTGTCTGTGCATGTGTAGACGGGTTGTGGGAGCTGCTATCATTTCGCTGAGTGTTCTCAGCTGTTTCATCTTTTACAGCATCAAAAGTTCCGTTCACCTTTTGTAGCCAGTCGATCGGCCTTTTTGTTGAGGGACGTTTGAGGTTCTGCCGATTCATGTGGGTGTTTGCATGCGGCTCAAACTGTAATTGGGTTATCAGACTGCCCCGCTGATTAAACTTGCACCCAGAGACCAAACATTTGCCAACCCCTCCCTCCACTTTGCTCCCATCACTGTCCCCCAGTGAGCATGCGGTGTGACAGCTCAAATCTTCCCCCTAGCACGCCCAGCCCTAAGAACAATACGTCCCGATAAACCCTCGGAGAGCCTGAGGGTGTGTTGCGCGTCCGTGCTTGTGCGCGCGTTCGCTCACGAACAACGCACAGCACGCCGGTTTTTCACACGCATGGCGGCTAGAATCTGTCTGTCCAAGCACTCTCCTCTATCAGGAAGTGAGGTAGGCCCGATGGGAGCAGTAAGTCCAGAGAGCTTAGTGGCCCAGAATAGGATCCATTGTGTCCTTTGTGCTGGAGGGGATTTGGGCCTACAAACTGACCAGTCTGCTGGAAGGTGATGAGGATGGAAGGTCTGGAAGAGCCGGGCGGAGACCCGCTGGGCTGGCATGAAAACAGACGGGGATGCCAACTGGCAAGGGTGTGACAGTGTTGAGACACTGGCATGGGGGATAGACTGATCACTGATAAAATTTGTCTCCATGTGTATGAAAAGCAAAGTACATTATTTATAAATTGCGTGCCAACTATAGATGTGGACGATGTAGCTAGTTTTAGAGCATTTAGTAGAAACTTGCGAGCTGCGGTGAATAATGGATTTCCACTTATCAGGTCATGGTGATGCTGTTGTTGTGTAATGCAACAGTTAGCCGTTAGCTTTAGCAACATTATAAGAACATGTCAGGGCTGTGCATCTGTCAGGATGTTTTTGAGGTCTTCCGCTCCCTAGCGGTAGAAAATAATTAACACAGCCTTAAAGGAATTGTTCAACATTTTGGGAAAGAGGCTAATTTGTTAGAAGTCTAAAACCCCTCTCATGCCCGCATGGTACACATGAAGCAACCCCTAAATTGTGATTTAATAGTGCTCTTTTTTTTTGTCTTTAATTGCTTGTTCTGCTGAGTTTTGTTCCCTTTCATCCTTTCCCTTTTATCTCTCCCTCTGTGATCTTCTGCAGACTGCATTTTTGATTCCATGCCATGTTAGGGAATAAACATGGGAAGGTTTAAACCCCCGGAAACTCACCTCACTTCCTCCTTCACACGCTCAAAGACGCTGACTTCCAGCTGACCATCAAAGAGATTTGATTTTACTCGCCACGTTTATTACCTTTGTTCAAGTGGGAAAAGATCCCTATTTAACAATACTTCCACTGGTTGGCTATGATTACCAAACCATCATTTCACCTCGCACTTTTTACATAACACCAGACAGACAGGGAACCCAGTCGAGTCTTTGAAAGTGACCTGTGTGACCTGAAAATAGATACTAGAAAGACATGGGAGCCTTTTGAGGAGATGACCCCACGACCTTTGAAGTATGTCTTCTTCTGGAGGTGTTGCTTAAACACAGATAGACCTGAGCAGGCTGCAGGATGACCGTTTAGCTATCTGTAGGTGACTGGTAATGTATGCTGTGATTATTGCTGGGACGACAGCAGGTTAGAGGTGGATGGAAAGAAGTGGGAGGCAGACATACGACTCAAGAAAGTGGAGGAAGAGCAAAGAGTGGAGGTGTGCAGTCAAAGTAACGCTGTGATGGAGGATGAGATGGATGGATGTCGAGGCGTGAGAGAAAGTGGCTCCCTGTGGGACCCCTTGCATATTTTCCCTGGGCGAAACCAGGTGTGAGCTGCGAGGCAGACAGCTCCGGCAGGCTGCCTTTACCTGGCGCAGCCCTGTCATTACTTTTACCTGGCTGCCCCGAGGCCACGTGGGCTGGAAGAGGAGCTGCTGCAGAGCTCAACAGGACACACAGCGTGGTCAAGGCTAATCCAGGATCATTGTCACTTTAAAAGCCAAGTGCAGTAAATGAACAGGAACTCTGTGACATCACTGCAGTCAGAAATATGAAGTTCAGTTCACCTGTACTTGCTGAACTCCCTGATCCGTGGATGTAAAGCAGCTCCCTTTTATGGGCAACTTCATGTCAGGTCAAGCTTATTTATGCGTCACAAAATTACAAGTTTATCCCTGAGAGAGTCTGTGTTATAATTCTTGATTGAGTGCCATGTTTTTATGTAGATGTTTAAGAGACCCTTGGATAAATCATTATGTATAAGGTTAATATGAACCAAGCAGCAATGTTTCCTTACCATGTAGGATAAAACATGAAATTTAGACACTTGCAAGAAGGCGTTTAAGAGTCAGTGTCGTGTACTTTTGCGTGATTTGCAGAATTTATCTAAATGGTCCGGATGCTGTAAACTGCGGCGGTCTGGTAGTCGCTGCAGGCTAAAACAAACGCTAAAGCTTGTTTATAACTGGTGTTTGACCTTCCTCATGATGTGAGATTTGTTATTTCAGAGTTCGACAGTACTCCTTTAGTTAAATGGTTTTGTATCTGCAGGCAGGGCGGTTATATATTAATGGGACCAGGTGTGGGGGGGGGAGAAAATTACCTTCCTTTTTGTTACTTGTGCATCTGCGTGCATGTGTGAATGGACCTAACAGAGGGGTGTGTAAACCTTTACTTTGTGTATAATGAAGGGTGTGTGCATATACTGTATGTGTGTGTCATTTACTGTAATGTATAGTCTTTTAGAGACTTCACCTATTTCATACTCCTTGAACCTTGTGATTTAAGTGTGTAGCTAAATTTGTTGTGTCAGTACATCCTCAGGAATATCCAGTCGCACACGTGCATGCATGCAAGCGTTTACATGCATCTCTGCTCTTTAAATATGTCTGTAAATGTCTCGTAAATGTTAAATATACATCTGCAACACTGGTTTACACTCTTGGTTGACTTTATTGAGGGGGGGGGGGGCATCATTCTTGGAGCGTTTCATATCAAAGTTTGGTAATATTCAAATTTGATATGACAAGTATTTTCCCTAAAGACGAAATACCTGTTGCATGTATTTGCATGTTAATGAAGCAAGCCGATGTCGAGGCCTTGAATCTGAGTCGCTGAAAACAGGTAAATAAAAAGAAGTAGATTTCAGATAAGCTTGTCGGAGCTCTGAAATTAAATCCTCTGACTTTCCTTTGACCCAAACGAAGACATCTGTCCCCCTCTCCGCCATCTCCTCCCTCCATCCGTCTGCTCTCTCTCCTTACCCTGTTATCCTGCCTTAAAGATGAGCTAATGGCAGGTTGTCAGTAGTTGAAGCTACAGTGTGTGTGTGTGTGTGTGTGTGTGTGTGTGTGTGTGTGTGTGTGTGTTCGTCTTAACAAACCCAGCCTCTTCAGTGCAGGATTCCTCTGCACATCCATCCAGCTCTAAATCAGCACAAACCACCTGTTGATGCTGGTTCTTTGTTTTTCTACTGCCCTCAGGTGGTGGACATTGGGTAGTGCAGTCTGTCACCTGCAGCACAGGCACCTTCATAGAGAAAATAAAGGTTTTATAATAGATTTTAGGCTCTAGTTGACAAAAAAAAAACAGCATAAATTTAGGTCCATTTATTTGTTCTGGAGCTTTCAGTTTTTTTCACAGCAGTTTGGGGTTGTTGTTCAAATTCCCATTTTTCTGAACAATTAAAGGTTTCCACGTCTTCACGCTTAGAAAAATGGAAATAACATTTCCATCACAACTGGAGAAACTCCTGCTGAGGAAATGGAGGACGGTCGGGGACTTTGGGGGATTAGATGATTTGTGTTTAATGAAATGTTTTTCTGATCATTTTGTTGTGTGATTTCAGCATCAATAAAGCCTCATTTATCTTCATGCTAACAAACTGAGGTTGTTTGCTCCTCTCTCTTCTCTCAGGGTCGTCCTGGGCCTCTCGGTGAAGTTGGACAGAGCGGACCGGAGGGGCCCCGTGGCAGCGTGGGGCCTTCAGGGCCTAAAGGAGAGAAGGGCCACGTCGGACTGAAAGGACCATCTGGCCCCAAAGGAGACAAAGTGGGTGCTGTAGATCTTATTGGACAGTGAAGCAATATTATGGCAAGATAAAAAATAAAGTTTCATCCCAACAGACACAAACTTGTCTGCAGCAGCTAAGCAGTGACATGTTTTCTCCACCAGGTGTTGCTGTTTAACCTGATCATATATGAACATAATTGATTATTTACTTATGCAGGGACCGATGGGAGTTCCCGGGTTCCAAGGAACTGATGGCGTACCTGTAAGTAAACCAGATGTGCAGCTACACACAATATGCATTCATACAGATGTGTCTCAGATAAATTCAGATTATCAATTTTGATAAATAAATCCCCCGGTGCTGCGATCAGTGCTTAAAGGGTCCGATCTCCTCTCCCTCTCTCTGTAGGGTCACCCTGGTGCGGAGGGCGGCAGAGGATTACCAGGACTGGACGGTTGTAACGGGACCAGAGGAGAGCCAGGAGACCCTGGATACGAGACAGGAGCGTCTGGATACCCTGGACCTGCTGTGAGGATAAACTTTTATTATATCTTTATTTAAGATGTTTGAATCCCGTTACTTAGAGAATATAGAGTTTATTACTGATGGCGTCCTTTCCTTCAACAGGGGCCTAGTGGGCCAAAGGGTCAGAAAGGAGAGCCTCGATACATCTCGGATAACGGCATCACGGTAAAGGCTCACATTCATATTCATTTTTTCCACTCAGTTCACTTGTATCTGGTTCCTCTGACCCTTCCTTCCTCCCTTATTTTATTAACTCTTCATATGTTTTGTAAGTGAAATTTAAACTGTAAAGGTGGAGTAGAAGTAAAGTAATGGAAAATTGAAATAGCATAAGTAAGAAAATGTACTCAGTTACTTTCTGCCTAGCTTATGATATGGGTAGCACCGCTATGTGGACCTTGATAATACTTCAAAGATTTCAAGACCCTAATACAGTTTGAATAATCAGCACCAAATTGGGTAAATAACATATTTAGATGAGCACAAAAAAGTATTGCATTTTATATTTGTCATTATTATTTTTCTCATTTTTATAAAAGAAAAAAAACTGTTATAATTTGTTGTGCAACTGCAACCAAACTGATGCACATATCAGCTCTGAGCCAGCCAGTTCAATCTTTTGGCCAGTAGGTGGTGCTACAGGACAATGGACATAGTGGCCACAGTAAAATTTAACTTGAATGTCACCAGTGTAGAAAGTGTTTAGAGGTTAAGAGGTGTTTATTGATTAATCTGTTTTTCTTTTTTTTTTCTTTTTCCTCATTTAGAGTTATCCAGGTGTACCAGGACCGGACGGTGCACCTGTAAGATTTTTTAACTTTTTTCTGCTCAGTATGCAACAATATTCTGATGAATTCTCTTTAATAACTGCGCTCTGTAAAATCTTGTGCTTTATATGCAAAATATGTAAGTACAGATGGAAAGTTAGATCACGGTAAAATATATTTGTTTGGACAATTTGTGTTCTGACCCGGTTGTTTAATCTCTGCAGGGTATCAGAGGTCCTGATGGTCCGTCTGGTTTTCCTGGTCCGAGAGGGCCTGAGGGATACACTGTATGTAAACTCGTTCATCTCCCTGCATCTTAATATGACTCGCAGTTACATGTTTATTTAAATTTTCTGATACATTCGTGATGACATTAACAACCGCAGGGATTTCTTCTCAACCCTGCCGAAGGAGTGAGGAAACATTTTACAGTAAATGAGTTAAAAATGCCACAAAAAGCTGTTTAATAAACCACTTAATCATTATTAATGTTAATGAATTAATTTAGGTTTTAATTGATTTAGGAGTTTAGCTTTTTGTTACCATCAATTTTTATTAAAAAATTATTTTGAGTTTTTAAAAACTCAAAATATCAGACATAACTATCTAATTTAATAATCCTATTATAACTGATATTCTCTTATAAAGTAAAACTATTATTTTACTCCTACGTCTTTTGTTTTTGGGTAATTTATTAATTTTTTTTATTTTAAGTCATCACAATAAATAGCAGTCATTAATCCAAGGGTATTTTTTTATTATTGTCTTTTTTATTATTATTTATTTACTGAGTCGGACTCTGTCGTCTGTCTTTAGGGCCCGCCTGGTCCTCCCGGTCCCCCAGGGCTGATGGTAAGTGAAATAATAGAATATAATGATTCATTATATTCTATTATAGGGCAAATAAACAGTGGCTGTGCAGGAGCGTTCGCCTCAGTTTTACCATTTTGGAGTCTTTGTTCTTGTCTCGTGTTAACGCTTGTTGTTTTCAGGGGAGCCGCAGTGACGGATATCAAGGAGAAAAAGGAGACAAGGTATGAACTGTTAGCTGAGGAGCTCATGTAGACTCTTCTGTCTGTCGAGATTAATTCACACACACGTACAGTATAAGGCCTGTTGATGCTGGTAATGAGTTTATCTGGTAGGAAAATATCTTCAAGTCCTTTGTTTACTGTTACAGTTTCTTTTATATAAAGAGGACAGGAAAATAACTTCCATAAAATGATCTGGACACAGTCATTATAAGACCAACCAAAGGCATTTGAACAGGGTGTAAAATGATTGTTTGGCAAAGCAAACAATCATTTTAGACCCAAAACAGATTCTTTATGGTCTTCTTCATCTCAGGTGCTAGCTTGACATGGATTCAAATACCAGAGAGCGAGCGTGAAACCCACAATGCTAAACTTCAAAAATAACATTTGGGGCGTGCAGTCAGGATGCGTTAGCCTAGCTTAGCACAAAGGCAGGAAGCAGGAAGTCTTGCTCCATGAAGAAAAAACCCACAGCTCTTTGTTTTTCCTGTTTTCAATACATAACATGAAATTTATGGGTAGCATTGTTAAAAAGATGCTTTTTAGCTTGTTGTTTAGCCTCTTATCAAGCTAGCTACTTTTACCTCCTTGTAGTCTTTGTGCTAGGCTAACAAGTTCCAGATGTACCGCTGCACTGACCGCTCAAAAGATAAAGTCTCCGTCACCAAATCTTTAAGACACTCTGCATTAACTTTATTGTGTTTTTGGAGTAAAACGTTGTGGATTTTTCGCTCAGCTACTGATTAGCTACAGATTAGCTGCAGTTTAGCGCATCATCATAACAGCAGGTTTAGATGCTCTAGCTGGGTCCTCGGTGTGTGTGTGTGTGTGTGTGTGTGTGTATGACTGTGTATGTGCCTTTATGTGTGCATGCACGCCTGCTTGAATGTGTTGGGTGGAGATACAGTAATACTGTGCATGTTGACATTTTTTGGTGGTGGCTTGACGATCTACACTTCTTCCGTCCAACACACATTAATTTACCCTACATCCCTCCATCCTCCTCCATCCTCCTCCTCCTCCTCTCTCCATCCCCAGATTGACACAACTACTGAACTGTTTGTTACATACGTTTCCTGTATGATAAAAAGATCACATGAACCTCTAATTGATTCAGTCTGGTTTGTTCTTTCAGATGATCCGTACCGCCACTGAGACAAGTCACAAATGCACCGATTCTGATTGAATCCTGTTCAAATCCAAATTCAGACTCTTAAAGGACTGATTGTTCCACTATTTCCCATTCAGACTGATATAAATTTGTAGTTATCGGCTTCAAAGATTTCTTCAAATATTGTTTGTTGGTTGTCCAGTGGCGTCATGCACTTATTTCTCTTTTTGTTGGATGACAGTTCAGAGATTTTACAGGAGTTTAATTTCCAAATAAAAAATTTAAAAAAAAAAAGGAAATCAAGTGAAATTCACCAAATTTTGCATTTTAATGGCACTACATATAAAAAAAAAAAATCTGATCAAATCAAGAAAATAAATCTACTTTTATTAAAACTTTATGAAAACTTCTGAGCTGTCACTCCAGAGGACGATCTGTGGACTGTAACTGGTTGCTGGAATCACTCGCTCCTACTTCCTGCGTTGCACTATTCTCCCCCTCCCCCCCTCCCCACCCCCTCCCCCTATTCACATTTGGGCATCTGGTGGTGAACTCTGGGATCTGTAGTTCATTTTTTTTTTGCCTGCTCCTTGTACTCCTCACCTCCCATCCACTCACCAAACCAACCCACCCATCTCATTTGAACAATCGCACACGGGTACTAACAGTCATCTTCATCCTCACACACTGCATGCACGTTGTGCTCGACACCGAACCCTCACACACTGAGCTCAGACAGAGTCAGGGTCGAACTGAGCATGGGAACAGCTGGATTGACTGTTAGCCTGTTGAAATACTTTTTTATTTAGGATCCAATTAAAAATGTGCAGCATTGATTTTACTTTTTTTAGCTCAGGGAAAAATGGGGGCTCGAAAGTAGTCCTCACCTTTTTTTTCTTCTTCTCTCTCTGTTGCTCTTTCTCTTTCTGTTTATCTCCCGTTATATTTTTCATCTCTGGATTCATTCACTGATCTTTTCTCATTATTGATTTTATTTTTAATCTTCTGTTTCTTGTCTTATTTTCTCCTTGGAGAAAGCTCTTTGGCGAATAGAAAATAACTGAACTCAAAGCAACAAGCTTTTTTGTCAGACTTTTTTGTTTCTATCTATCTATCTATTTATCGAGCTATCCCACATGGCCAAAAGTATGTGGACACATTTGGTGGTTGTTCATGTTTTGGACAGAAACTTGTGTTTGAGTTGAGTTGCGTGTTTTTTTCTGGCCTAGTATACACCCAGTTCCTCGGCCCAAATCTGGCCCATATGCGGCATGATTGTCAGATGCTACTTCCACATCTGGACCAATTCTGGCGCACACAGAGTCAGTCAATACCGGAGGATAACAGCAGGACTCTACCCAGATGTGGAAGTACATGGGCCAGACTCGGGCCGAGGACCCAGTGCTTATGTTGGGCCAGAAGTTTCATTGTGCGGCCTGGGTCGTGTCACATAAGGATTTACCCGGTTATTTACCTTACTTAGTTATGGACTGAGATGCTCAACAATCGTGTGTCCACATACTTTTGGCCATGTAGTTTATTTCTCTCTCTCAGCTCTTTGCAAATTTTTTCTTTTCGATCCATATACATTTTTTTCATCTTTTGCTGCTCTTTTGTCATTTCCTCCTTCTTCTCCTCCTTACTTCCCATTCTGCCCTCCTTCCTCTCTCTGTTTCTCCTCCTCCACCTCCTCCCCCTGCCCTCTCCTGATTGGCTAACGGTGTGTTGTATGTATTTCGGACTTCAGGGCGACGTGGGTCTTCCCGGACCCAGTGGTACTCCCGGCGACGGGTCGCTAAGAAGCGAACAAACTCTCACTATCTACAAAGGAGATAAGGTAACACAGCAAGAGAGGGTAGGAGCTGAGGTTGTAGCGCTTCCACACACACACACACACACACACACACACACACACGGATGCGGTGGGGTTAAATTATAAAAGGGGTAAAAAGGTCAGTAACACAGGAGGAAGCAGGATGGCGCAGACTAAAGGTTAAAAGAGGAAGAGGAGCAGTGATTGCTGCAAACTTTACAGCCATGGAGGGGAGGACGTGCTGGCTATAGGTATCTGAGGAGTTGAAGGAGGAGGAGGAGGAAGCTTGAGGAGTGATGGAGGAGAGGTTGGTCCTGACTCTCAAAACTAGAACGGGAGAATCAGTCCATTAGATAGTCCATTACATGTTCAGTAATCCTAGGTAAGTTTGTAAGTCAACCAAAACTGTAACTAAAAACTTTATACTAATGACAAAGCCTCTCATCATCACCCCGAAAACTCCCTCACTCCCCTCCTCACCCTGCGACTACGACCTCCTCAGTGGCTTCATGCACAGCCATCCTCCAGCCAACAGTCCCTCCCGTCTTCCCTTAAACGCCCCAAAACTCTGCCGCTGTCTCCGATACCCCACCCCCCACCCCTCCTCGTTCTGCCTCCACCAACCGGCTCGCCGTTGCCGTTTAAACAGCTCTCTCTTCCTTGGTTACGGCATCCAGGGCGACGTGGGCTTGCCCGGTGACCCCGGCCAGCCAATGATCAATGGCGTTGTGGAGTTTGTGGGTTTTCCCAAAGGAGACAAAGGAATGCAGGTTTGTTGGAAAACACAGCTCTTCTCACATAGTCGACGTTTCTAATGTCAGGCAGAGCGGCCGACGTCAGCCATGTGTCCCTGAACTGCCCACAGAGTTTGTCTTTGTTATAAAGTCGGAATAAAAAGTAAGTGAAATGTACTTTGTACTTGTGTCTGCCTGGGTCACTGTCTCCTGTATGGCAAATGAAGTGTTGACCTATATGCTCTTGTGGTTTCTTGAGGATCATATTGATGGTTTTACAAGTTTTCATCCATCAACTGCAAAAGGTTTCTACTTGCAATTAGTACTAACTATTTTTAAAGGATGCCAGTGACTTCCCACCTTTCAAGCAGCCATTGTTTTCAACTTTTTTGACTGTATTTGGAAATTAACTTGCAGAGAAACTGTTTAGTTTTTAATTTGTCTTTATTTGTAAAACTTAATGTGTTATCTTTTTTTTTTACAGTTTTAGCAGGAAATATTTTTGATGAATTAAGGTGGAGGACAGTTTAATGTCCAAGATTCGAGCATTTCTTTTTGAATTCAAGAAGAAACTGATTGAAACTTTGATTACATCCATGATGATTGGTCAAAATTTGGATGCCAAAGCATCCTTGAATATGCTGAATGTAACCCCACTTAAAATAATGAATTCCTATATCAGTGGGCCAGTTTTCATTGTTCTCTCATCTTTCTTTTAAGTGAGCTTGTGCATGCAAAGGTAAGTTTTAATATCAAGAAAATGTTAATAAAGCAAGAACACTGTCAAACCAAGAAATGATACTGTCATATAGCTCATAATTTAATATTTGCACATCTTTTTTCCTCTCTGTGTCTGTGTCTCAGGGAGAACCTGGACCAAAGGGAATCAGAGGATTCCCTGGCAACCCTGGCCGACCTGTAAGTAATTTTGTCCTTTTTCTTTCTACAAATATTAATTTTCAGTGTCATTTCCGCACAAGCAATTAGAAATATGAACGTAATATCAAAGGTAAAAAAAAAAGATTCGTTGAAACAGCTGAGAGATCAAGTAAATAAAATCTGGCTTAAGAAACACTGAACAATTTCTTTCACTTGATTCCAGGGACCTTTCGGTTATCGTGGTGAATACGGAGAAAAGGGCATTCCTGGATACCCCGGGGCAAGAGTAAGAGCTAACGGCTGACTGTATTACAGTAATTTCATAGTTCAGAGAAGAAGAAGAAAGACGGAAGAAGTGGAAATGTGCTTTTTTGTTGTATGAATCCTCCTCTAACCCCCGTGTCATGGAGATTCCTTTATTTAGAGGCATTATTTCCTGTCTTCCTCTGTGGTTAAACCTGTCTCTGATTGGTCCTTTTCCTCTTCTTCTGTGGTGGATGTCGTCTGTGATTCCACCGAACAGGGTCCTCCAGGTTTTAACGGCCCCCCTGGTGCTACAGGACAACAGGTAGGCTTTGTAGTACTGCCACTACAAGTATTCAGACACTAATGTCAATACCGCAATGTAAAAGTCCTGCATTTATTATTTAACTTAACCGGAGGTATCAATACATTCAAGTACAAGCAGTATTTATTGTAATATATAGTATTATTTTATATTTTTACACAGATTAACCAAAGGTAATACTTCATATTATCTGAATTCAAATAAAAAATACTCAGAAAATACCCAAGTAAAGTACAATTACATTAAAATTGTACCTTGGTACAGTAATTAGCTGATGTACATCGTTACTTTCCTCTGATGTTCTGATATAGGAAATAATGGATGAGTTGTTCCTGTCATCTTAAGATTCCTTGCACTGTAGTCATGACAACCTCAGTCATTTGTACATTAAATTCAAACTAAATGTGTGGGTTTTTTTTTTTTTTTTCTTGACACAGGGATACAGCGGTAACCCAGGTTTCCCCGGGCAACCAGGATACATAGGACCGAAGGTAAACGGAGAGTGTTTGCTTGTGTTTTGAATACAATATTTACTATGTGACTGTTTTTGCAGTTGGTATACAAGAAATCAACCTAATCAGCTGTTTTATGCTTAGAGAAAATGTTATAGTACTTGTAATACATTGACTTATATCACAATATCACGGTTTATTAAACTTAACAAAGACGCAGCCAAATGTTTTTCTAAATTTTATTTTTAGTTTGTTTGCTGTCCCTCGAGCTGTTTCACCTTCTTCTCAATTTCCTTCTCAACACGCCCAAAAACAGACTCAAAATCGTCTTGGAATTAGTCTGTAGCATCGATCTGAGGTTTTCTTGCAATACCAGCATTTGACCAGCAGATGGTGCCAGAGTTTCTTCTTCTTCTATTTTTTCCTCAGGGAAGCTGATGTAGAAAGTTTCACTTAACTGTTGGGATATTTAGAGGGATAATGACTTAATTCTGTGTTTATATGTGGTGCAAATAAATTTAAAAGAAGTAGTATGAAGTGGGGGAAAATGCTTATTAATTTTTTTTATATATAACATGTTTGTTTTTTTTGGATGTGTTTTCTATTAGGGAGACCAGGGAGAGCCCGGACTGCCAGGACCTCCCGCTTACGTTAATGGGTTGGCCACCTCTGTTCAAGGTAATACACAGATTTATTGGTGATCTCATAAACTAATTAGATTTGAATGTGACCTATCTTTTAATGTGTTTGTTTCCTGTGTTAACCGTCTTCTCTGTGATTGGCTGCAGGACTCCCGGGTGATCCAGGTCTCGGCGGCTTGCCCGGTTCCCCAGGTGACCAGGGAGCTCCAGGGTTCCCAGGACCACCGGGCCCACCAGGACAACTGTTGGGCAAGTTACTTGAACGTTATCATCAATTACACTCATCGGTTAACCGCACAGATTGATTTACTGTTACATTTAGAATATTAATTCAATGCATCTGTCAATCATCAATCATCAGATCCCACATATGGAGGTCGTCCAGGCTCCTCAGGTTTCCCCGGGACCCCAGGCCCAAAGGGAGAGAAGGGGAGCCAGGGCATACCAGGCTACGGCACTGAAGGAATCCAAGGCTCCCCAGGACTCCCCGGACCCGTCGGGCTTCCTGGACTTCCGGGCCCCTCTAGTATGTTCACGCAGAATCGACTAACGAAAGCTCTCTGGTCCCTCACAGGCGGTCATGATAAGGATTGACGTGGCTTATTTGAGAGATGGGAACTGAAGCGTTTTGATAGCAATTAATAAAAGTTATAACGACAGTATTATTTTAAACTTTTAAACTCTTTCTCCTTTAGATGTGTTTTGTTGTTTAAGTTGTCTTCCATTTTAGTTGTATGAAGGAGTTTATCATTATTTTGATCACACTTTATTTTACGGTAGAATTTTCTTCTAATGAGCAACGACTGGTCGGTAAGAAAGTGAAACGATGTTAAATAAATTACAAAATATATACGCCTGATATAATATGGCATTACATCTGTTTAATTACGGCTGTCTAATGAAGCGATCATAGGTCCTTGATGGAAGTATTCGATGTGATGTATTACAGCATCATTTGTAGAACAGCATCTTAACTGTAACATATTTTGGATCTGATATGACGTTGCATTTTATTTCTCATTAGACTATGATCCTGTAAAATGGCGGCTAATAGTAGATATTAGGGTTTCCTATTAGGTTTCTAATTAGGGTATAATTTGGTGTAATGGTGACTAAGTATTGTTTACTTGGGATCTAATAGGTAATTATTGGTGGAGTAATTTAGGTGTAGCCTAAGGTGTGTAACTATGCTTGTTTACTGTCTAAGAAAGAAAATAGTATGAATAGTTTTGTCTAATTTGATACAAAGTACGGCTTGTTGTTATTAGCTTAGTGTAAAATAAGTGCGACCATCATTTTTATAGGTAAAATTATGCAACAATAATCAACCTCAAGATGGCGATACAGCATCATTCTGGCACTGAGCTGCGGTTGGCGTCACTTACTTTGCAATAGGAAAATGGGTGTTGTAATGTTGCAGCCATAGAGGACAGGTCATCGGTAAGACTACAAGACAAGGTAGGAGCAGACTTAAAAAACATAATGGCTGACTGACTTTATACTGTCCTCCAAGGGTCGACCGATCCCTGCGTCATCTATCCACCGTACCCAGGTCAGTCAAATACGGGTATAGGCAGCCATAACGCTATGACCGCCATGACTTATGTTCAGGCTGCCAAAGCGAAACTCAGAACAACAACTTTCAAGCAGGCAGTGCCTGACTGCCACCGTGCTTTGTTTTTCCCACGCTGTACTCTGTGCAGGGTGCTGTGGTAAGTACAGCTGAGGAGAGCGCAGGCTCTTCGCTGGCTTCAGACTTGGATGGGAGGGTCTCTCTGCTCCAAGCTGCTTCTCTCAATCTTTGGCCACAAAGTGTCGCCCGCTCTCAACAAAGATTCACTGATTTTACATGGACGTTAATGCTTGGCAGAGTTTGCAACAGGGATTTGTTTTGGTTTTATTGTATTTTTTTCTTTCTTTTTAAATTTGGTTGGCACAAACACATAAAAAAAAAAAAAAGGAATAGAAAGAACGGAGACACAAACTGAAAGAAAGTAACATTAACAACGATAATAACTACGATAATTATCACGCTAACGCTTTCTTTCAGTTTGTTGGCAACATTTAGGATATTTCATCTCATCACATCAATTAATTGGCTGAAACAAACAAACCTCTTACATGTGTTTGGTTGAGAACCTCCAGGCTGATGATACTTCCTCTTCCTCTGTGTGTGTGTGTGTGTAGGTGCCAAACTGCAACAAGGCTATGCATGCTGCTTGTGGCAAGTAGCTCTTAGCCATTATAGTCCATGTAAAATCACTGAATTCATGCTAAATATAATGCTGATTTATATTTTACTATGATATAAACCTTTTATTGCTCTGTCATCTTGCAGCAGCGGCAGCAGCTCAAATCTTCATGACCAAACAGAGCAAACTAACCCTGATTTCACACTGTGACACCAAGCTGTGCTTCCAATCTGCTGGTTTCAGTCATTCCTGTTTTTATTATATGAACATTTAGGTGAGAGTGAAAAAAGTAAGTTCTTCCTAAGACAGGAAATCCATCTGGTTCACATCTTACATCGATCAGCTGGAGATGAAACAGTGTGAAATCTGAAAATCACAGAATTGATACGTTGTTTGAAGCCGCTTTGTGACTAATTTACCAATAATTGATCTAACTTAATGTGTGTGTGTTTGTGTGTGTGTGTGTTTGTGTTTGTGTGTGTTTGTTTGTGTACTTGCAGTTACCCCCGGTGTCCCCACCAGCTACCCTGGACCGCCTGGGGCACCTGGCCCAAGAGGACCGCCGGGGAACACAGGATACAAAGGCTTCAGAGGTACACACACACACACACACACACACACACCATCACATTTCCATCACAGACATTGACGTACCTCATTTTTTTATTCACATTTTGTACATTTTCCAGTTTAAAATTGCTTCGACTGACCTGCAAAAACGGCTCCATGATCATCTCATTAATATCTTTCTTTTCTAAATCTTCTTTCCTTTCCCTCCTTCTGCCGTCTTTGTTGTCCTGTTTCCTCCAGGGGATCCCGGCGACTGTGCCTGCCTGGGAGGGGGCTCCTCGGTTTTGCCCGGCCTACCCGGAGCCCCCGGAACCAACGGCAGCCCTGGCTTCCCTGGACGTAAGGGTGAGCCTGGTGATGCCGGTTCACCCGGCTTTAATGGCGTCCAAGGACCTCCTGTGAGTAAGATTTTGACTCTGTTGTTTCCCCAGTGTCAGAGGGGGGGGGGGTTGTGAAGTAATGCACGTCTCTGTCCTCATCCAGGGTCGAAGCGGTGAAACGGGTTTCTTTGGCCGTAAGGGAGAGAAGGGGGCACCTTACTACCCCAACCAGGGTTTGGGGGTGAAAGGAGAGCTCGGAGCTACCGGGCCCAGAGGACCTACAGGTGAAACTGGAAAACCTGGCAGAGACGGACTGCCTGGCTTCCCCGGAGCCCCCGGGCCCCCAGTGAGTACTAAGATACAGAGGATTCATATTAATCTGAAGGAGTTGAGCAAGTTCTTAAGAGAAAGAATGAGGATAAGGATTTTAATACTTCCTACTTCCTCTCCTCTTCAGGGTGACGCTGGCTACGGCACAGTTGGAGAGAAAGGTTTCCCAGGGTTCCCGGGGTCTAAGGGTCGTCCCGGCGGCACTGGCGAGCCCGGCATTGGCTACGTCGGAACCCCAGGCTTTCGCGGAGAGCCTGGAGAGCCCGGTATTCCTGGGTTGCCAGGGCAACCAGGTTTACCTGGACCGAGAGGTAAGTGATGACAGGGAGGAACGACAGACGCGGAAGAAGGGAGAGGAAGTGTTTGGTGTTGGTGTGCGTGTTGTGTTGAGTGTCGGAGTGTGTGTGTGTGTGTGTGTGTGCGAGCGTGCGTGCGTGCGTGCGTGCGTGTGTGCATGTGTGCGTGTGTGCGTATGCATGGATGTCATGCCGTATTCCTCCCGCAGGGTGAAACCCTGACCATACATCCATCTCATCACCCATCACTGCCCATCCTCCATGTACTGTAGTTACCATAGCAACCTCATCCTAACACCCTAAACCATTAGAAGACACTTCTAGGGGACAGACAGTTCCTGGTTCATCTGCCTCGCTGAAGCAGTCCAGCTCTCCAGGACCTGAAGGGACAACGTGGCTCTTGTTAGATTTTCTCTGCCACAGCAGCTTCCTGCCCTTCATGCCTCAGCTGCAGCAGCACACTGTTAACTACATGATTAATGGTCTCCATTAATGTGCTTATACACCTCTTCTGCAGCCAATAATCTATAATCCATAAACTGCTTTGTTAGTCGACTGACTGACGCACAATGATGAGATTTTAATGCTGATTGTGCAACAGCTACTGTGCTTGTTTAGTCTCAGAGGAGGTGAGGAGATTTCATCTGGAAACGTCAGGCGAAATTATGATTCACGGTTCGCGGTGAATTATTCTAAAAGGTTTGGTTTGGTGGTTTTTTTTTTAATCGCCACACTTCTTCATATCAGTCCTACTGATGCCTGAGCACATCCTCTGAGGCACTGGACACTATTACCAAGAAAAACCCTTCAAAATAAGACACTGCGATCCCCTGTTATGGGTTATGGCATCAGTGTGGCCATAATCAAAAACAGATTTTACCCTCTTGATTGTTTATTTAAAGCAGCGGTTCCCTGAATTTACGGACAGAATTATAGTGGAAATATGTGATTTCTAGAGATCTGAAGATGTAAACAAAACTGTTTTCTCTTTGGAGGAAAATAAGATGAAAGATGAAAGTTTCTGAAAGTTTTAAAGTACTTCAGGATAGATTTGGACATTTGAGAAACAGATTTTCAGTGACACAATAATGGACATGATGATATAAAATGAAATAAAACATCTGGATCCATCTAAAGTCAAGTTTATAAACCACGCAAGAATCAAACGTTCTTCCTCCCTGAGACTAAATGACACAAAGTCTTCAGCAGCAGCTGGCCACTCATCTTCAGTGTGACTGTGTGCTCTCATACCGTGATGCTAATGCTAAACAACTGATTCATTTTGCTTTTAATATGAAGGTTATTGTCGCTCACGGGAGTTGAGAGAGAGAGAGAGAGAGAGAGAGAGAGCACGAGGACAGAGTCCGTTTGGTAAACTCAGGAAACATTTGAAGTCGCTCCTCCTCCTCCTCCTCCTCTCTCTCTCTCTCTCTCTCTCTCTCCTGTTGAGGGGAATAATCTGTCTTTAAGCACTTTTACATTGAAGCATTTTAATATGCCTTTGCCTTAACTGAATGAGCCTTGAATAATTGAATGGAACTGATTGCTGATTTGCTGATATCTGTTTGATGAAAAACAATTTAATTGCTTTATTGGCGCATGCAAATGACCCTGACTGGCTTTGTATGCTGCCATCTTCTCTCTCTCTCTCTCTCTCTCTCTCTCTCTGTCTCTCTCTCTCTCTCTCTCTCTTTATCCATCCCTCCTTCTCTCTGACCTTCCTTGTGCATGTGTATCTATCCAGGTGAAAACAGCTGTGGAGGGGTTAATGACGTCGGAGAGGGAACGGGTGGGTAACTAACTTTTTCATCCACCAGCCAGAGTAAAGAGCCTGGGACAGAATCTGTAGCTTGAGTTTCAGGCAGCCCAGCCACTGGTGGATCCGTAAACATCCCCTGAGTAGAGCCGATCGCTTACAGAAGCAGTGGAGAGGAAAGACTTGCTCATGAGTCACATGCTGGGTAGAGCGGGGAGTGACTTAAAGAGACACCGTTAGACGGAAACGAACAGGGTTTGACCACATCTTTACAGTTTATTGCTGCAGACTTCCCCAGAAATGTGTTCACAATGTAAATGGGCTGCTGTGTTCTATATGTGACTATAACGATGCAATGGCCATGTGAAGATGCACAGTTAAAATATTGTTTCCTCCAATAGTAATAATAATAATAATAATTTTATGCATATATTTTTTTCTTTAAGTTGTTATTTCAGAACATAAAGGTCTAAATGCTGAAGTGTCCTTGAAATAAAATTCTGGTGGATAAATATTGAATCTTTAATTATTTTTTATTTTGTTGGCCTCAAGGGAATCCCTTAGCCGTATTCTGATTGGTCAGTTTGTAACTGTATTCTGATTGGTTAATAGGTTTGTAGCTCTATTCTGATTGGTTGATTGACTGATTTGGCACAAAGGGGGATTTGAACTCAAGGAGGAACTGATTATATTTTGTTGGTCAAAGGTCAAAGGTCACACAAAACACGTTTTTACCCATAATTCAAGACTTCAGTCGATAGAATTTCACACAAATGATTAATATCCATGAAAGTAGAGGAGCCTCCAGATCTGTTTGCATTGTGAACACAAGGGGAGGGGTCAAGACTTTTGTTCCACTGTCACCTTCTGTTACTCAACGGTTTGATTGATCGCTTGAAAGCCATTAATCACAACCTTGGGGTCCTGTTCTGTAATAGCTTACAAGTACCTCATCAGAGCAAGTACTTCTGGGAAATGTGGTCTTTTGCATTCTGAAACAGGCCGGCTCACTGTCAATCATTTGTTCATGGCGGAGCGGATGGAAGCCTCTCGCTCCCTGCGTCTCAGGGATTCCATTCGGGCGGAGTCAGTCGATGATTGACGGGGGCGAGTTTCAGGTTTTTAAAATCCGGATGTGTGGCGCTTCAGAGCAAACACCGCCTTCTCGAAACATGCAACACATTCCAGTCCAGTCCATTGGACACGCTCTCCTCTTCCTCCAATCAAAGCTGCTGAAACCTGGCGCATGTTTTCAAGCCCTGCCTCTGCTAAGTGCTTTTAACCAGTGAGGGAGGGAGTGAGGGAGGGAGGGAGGAAGGGAGGAGGGGAGGGGGGCCAATAGAAATAATAAACCTGATCCCCAAACACAAACCCCCCCCCCTCTGAATTTATAACTTTCTAATGTTTTAGCATCACCTTCTAATTTTTGAACTGCCCTTTTAATATGATGAATTTGCTACTAACGACATTCAACCCACAACACACAATAATTCTCATGATCAAACTCAGATTAACATGAACAGAAAGCTTTTATTTTGAAAACGGTAGTGGCGTGAATGGAGGCGACCGACAATCAACAATTGCGAAAAGACATTTACAAAATGGCGTTATCACTAGATATGTGCTAACACTACTTATTTATTATTATTTGTGTTTATTGTAGGCGTGTTTCAGATATTTTTTTTTAAACATCTCATCTATTTAAAGTGTTTGCAAATTTAATTTGAGCCAGGTTTAGAAATATTTACATATAAGTGGTTAATGTTACAATTGTGTGTCGTTATATGTGTATTAAAGTGTATGAAGTGTGATTGCTAACCTGTGTATGACTGCTACCAGGCCAAGTGCTACCTTGCACCATACCTGGTGAGGACGGAGACCCCGGTTACCCCGGTTTACCTGGACGGCCAGGTAAAAATCAGCAGAGGTTTTGACAGTTTATTCTTTAAATCTGATTTAATATATTTCTCAAATATATTTTCTTACATTATATTTGGTTCTTTTTTGAGTCAAATGCAACGTTTCGGCTTTCAGTTGTGTTGTCAGTGGTAGAAGTTGCCTTTGGGATATTACATCATAGGACATACACAAATATAATGTAGTTAATGTTGAATATGAAAAAGAGAGTAGTTGCTAATGGATTTATTTCAGTGTGTCAACGTTTGTTTTAACCATTGGAAACATATCGCAGCTGTTTATTGACACCGATTGATTGATTTTCTCTATGTGTCAGGCTTTTTATCGTTTGCTCAGGTCGTCACTTCTAAAAAATAAAACTTCCTGTGCATCAGTTACTGTCATTACAGCCGAATAAAGGATAATTAATACAATTAAAGTCGTACCTGTGTGCACCTGTCAGGCCCTAAAGGTCAGCCAGGTTTTCCAGGAGATTCAGGACGTCCAGGGTTTGATGGTGCCAAAGGAGAGAGAGGAGAGCCCGGTTCTGGAGGCCGACCTGGACCTCAAGGTAAACCTGTGTGTTTCTGTATTTGTTATCCAGAGTACAACCCGGGCCGAGGTTCCCTGTGATGACTGTAGATCTGTTCTCAACCGTCCGTACATTACATCCACTAAACCTGGCAGACATCTTATTCATCTCCTGCACCTGTTTCCTTCACCCCGTCTACCTGCAGGTTTCCCTGGACCCAGAGGGGATTCTGGAGCTCCCGGTATCCCAGGACAGGGCTTTGATGGAGGCAGGGGGAAGGATGGTCTTCCAGGGCGTCCTGGAGCCAAAGGCCAGCCCGGAGAGGTACTGGGAGCCACACCTGGTGCTCCAGGACAGGACGGCTTACCAGGAATAACTGGAGACAAAGGCCAGCCAGGGACACCTGGAGGACCTGGCTCACCTGGTGGGTCTGAGACAGAGACGCTCACGTTGTTGTATTCTTCAATCAGGTGTTTCTATCATTGTGTCCATCCTATTCTAGTTTATAAGAGTTTTTTTTTTTTTCTTCATTCCTCTGTCAGGTTTTGACGGACGCTCCGGTGTCCCCGGACTAAAGGGAGAGCGCGGCGTTGACGGTCTTCCCGGTTTCCCCGGCCTTCCTGGACTTCCAGGTGAGCCGACCGGCGGCATTCCCGGTCGGCCCGGAGCTCCTGGCAGCAAGGGACTGAGCGGATCACCAGGTGAGGGAAAAGATTCATCACCCGTGTCCGCGACGTTTTACCACATGTCTAAACAGACTGCTCTTTCATTTTGTAGGATTGTAGAAAGTTTAGACTCCCATGTTCCATATCTGAGAGATCGTGTGTTTGTCCACATAGAGTTATCTGTAGCTTTATTTATAATAGAAGAAGAAGAAATATAATTTAGTTCAGTGTCTTTCTCCACTCATCCCTTCACTTTTACCAGTGTTGGTTCATCCCTGTCTTTTTTCTTTGTATTTCTCTCCTTCTCATCCTGTTTTGTATTTCTCCTCGTCCTGTTTTTTCCTCCTCCTCCTTTCCTCCCCTCCTTCCAACACACCACCATCATCCCCTCCATCCATCCTCTCATCCCTCCATCCTTCTTGTTCTTGGTGTTGGGTCATTCGTTATAGGCTGCCAAGGTGAGACACTCTCTCCCCCATCCATCCATCCATCCATCCATCACCCATCCATTCCTCCATTTCGCTTCATCCTTTGCTTCCATCCCTCCATCCTCCTGCTATTCGTGCATAAGACCAAACGCTTTAACTGCTACCTCCCTCAAAGTGTCTGCCTACTCTTCATCCGAGCAGCAAAACAAATGTCCATCTCCGTAATTCAATCAATGGTGGAGTCGACGCTGGGGTGTGAAACAAGTGAAGAAATCTGCCCATGTGCTTTTTTTTTTAAAAAAAACAAAATGTAAATACAGTTAATTTTTCTGAATTTTCCCAGAATCAAATAATCAAATGATTATCTTGAAACAAGGTCTGAACAGCTCCTGAAAGGTTTGTTTTTCTAACCTTCTTTAGAGGTGAAACGCTTGAAACGTTCAACCAGACAGGGATGCTTTATAATCAAACAACACATGGACATCTACCTTTTTATATTATATGGGATATTTAACAATAGTCCCTCCTTGTAACTGCATTACAATACGACAAATCATATTTTTTAATGTGTTTTTTGTGTCGTGATCACACAAAGTCACGGATCTCCTGTCTTTAAATCACGATGCTGCATCATATCATCGTGTGATTCAGGATTAAGCTGCAGAAAAATTCCTAAAAGGCACAAAACCGTGGTGCCGGAAGGAAACTAAAGTTCTCACACCCCACTCAAAGACTCATTCAGCTGTTTGTTTTTGGTCAAAGTGTTGTCTTCAGATGGACATTTTAGTTGTGAGAGACTCAGAAAAACAAAACATTTTCTTAAGAAATGTGACTACCAGTGTTTGGTTTGGTTTTTGCAGCCAGAACTAACCCTTGTAGTTCAGTTACATACTCGCATCTAATCTGTGCCAGATGTGTATATTGTATTGATTGCAATAGGTTTGTGTGACAGCATAAGTTTTAACATTGTTGCTGCTGCATCGAGACTAGAGGCTTTTTCTACACTCTTAAAAGGGCTTTTAATTTTCAGCACATCCCTGCATTGTCCTGGATTCGTGACAAATTAGTGAAGTGATGAAAACAGATGTGTTGAAAATGGGGTTTTCTTTTTAAGAATGTAAACCAGTAGTGGTTAGTATGCTATCCCATAGGACAAACAAACTTTAGGCGGTAGATCGTCACTAATTCAGCCTGGAATTGCACTTGAGTTTCTTACATATCTTTAATGAAATTGAATATAATTACAGGTTTGATCCAGCAAATGTTTAAACATTTAAAATCCCTGCTGGTAATGAATCTGAAATCAGTCACATCACGCTTGTTCATGTTCAATAAGATCCCCAATCTCAGTGCAATTGCAGCTTAATCAAGGTAATAAACAATGTAATGAAACGTGTATGTTTACATTGTTGTCTGCTTTTTTGCTGTTGTGCGTAATAAGAATAGAAATAATTGTGAAAATGATTTTTCTTTAATATGTATTAATAAACTTATTGGAGGTAAGTAAATTGATTATTAAAAAAAAGGTAAGTTTGTTTTTGTTACCCAATATTTACATTCTGTGTATCAGAATAATGACATTTATATTCATATTATTGTATTTTAATGTTTACACTGTTTTTTAAATAAATATGTAGATGTCTGTTTCCATTTAAAATATAGATCATGACCAGCGCCTCATTAAATCTCTCTCCGTCTTTCTTCCATCCATCATCTGTCCCCTCACCATCCGTCCACCAACAGGTTTCCCCGGTCGGAAGGGAGACAGAGGAGATCCAGGATTCCCAGGCCCTGCTGGGATGAAGGGAACCCCAGGACAGCCCGGCACCCCTGGGTCACCAGGGGCAAGGGGACCCCCCGGACCTCCAGGACCAGGAACTAGAGAGGGGATCCCAGGAATACCAGGAACGAAGGGTAGGCTGGAGCTCAATGGTTTTCTAACTTCTCTAAATAATAACTCCCTACAGCATCTCATGTGGAGTCTCTGTGTCTTTCCACAGGTGAAAGAGGTTTCCCAGGTCTGATGGGTTTCCCTGGACTACCAGGGCGTCCTGGTACTCCAGGATTTACTGGAGGAAAAGGACTGCCTGGGGGGCCTGGAAGAGACGGACTTCCCGGTGGACCCGGATACCCCGGACTGAAAGGTAAAGTATCCAGAGCAGGGAATGAGTGCGATCACTTGGATGGCAGAGGCACGAGGATACACACAGGCCAGTACCGGCCGAGGAGGCTGTGAGTCGCACTAACATCCATGTGTTTTACAGGTGACAGAGGATACCCCGGCCCTCCTGGCTTGCCCGCGGTTGTCATTCCATCGCTGTTTGTGGAGAAAGGAGACCCCGGAAACCCTGGAGGCAACGGCCTTCCTGGCTTCCCCGGACCCAGAGGTAACGCTACTTCCTGCTGCATTTTACTGTTTTATTATCATTTGACAGCTCATAATTAATCATTCCCTCAGAGTATCACAGGACGGCCTACAACTTTATTATAGATCAGCGGTTTTACTGTGAACTAGAAAAAGTAGAGCCATCTTTTACTTAAAGGAGCTATTTGTAAGTTTTGCTAATGCTACGTAGCCAGCGTTAGCATTAACAGCTGTTTACTTAACAGTGTAGAAGAAGCACTGTGAGTTCAGCATCAAACTTCATTCCCTTACTCGCCAACATCTGTCTACAGAGACGGAAAGAAACACCAATATTAACTCTTGTCTCTAACACGTCCTTTTTTCTACTAAAGTTAGCACGCTAACCAGCTAGCCACAGCACATCTCGTCATTTTCCGATAGCGACTCACTGTAGCCTCCAATCTGCGCTGAAGACGCAGCGCTGGTCAGAGGACATATTATAACCTCTTGTATTTATAAAGACAACAAAGGCCGAAGCTCTTGTTAAGTAACCCGCCCCTTTAAAGGAGCTATTTCTAGCTAATGTTAGCATTAACAAAAGTTCAAGTTTGCACCATATTATGAAAATATTCCATTTCAAGTCCTGCATTTTCGTTAAGTAAAAGTCCATCAATTATGTAAAATTGCACAATTCAGAGTGTTATTTTGTATCATGTATGTCATTGGATTATTATTACTGTTGCATTAATGTTTATTCAGTGTTTTACTGTTGTCAATGTGGTCAAATAAAAGTACCTTTCAATTTTACTTTAGTACAGTCTTGAGTCACTTTCCACCACCTCTGTGAACTGTCAAAGTTTGTCATGTGCTTGTGTAATCGAGCTTTTAATTTCCCTCCATGTTGCACCTCTAACCCCCCCACTCTGAATCTGGTTTCAGGTGACAAGGGTTTCCCAGGTCTGCCTGGTCGTCAGGGTCTGCCTGGACTTCCTGGTTTTGCTGAGCAGAGTAAAGGACAGCCGGGACAGCCTGGTTATCCCGGGACGCCGGGATCTCCGGGCTTCCCCGGACCGAAGGGAGAGGCTGGAATCATGGGATTCCCCGGCATATCTGGAGCAGGGGTAAGAAAAAACACACACACACACACACACACATAGAAATAAAACAGCATAAAGTTCAGACGGTGAGCTTCAACTTCTGATGGCTTCTTTCAGGGTGATGACGGCTCACCTGGTTACCCTGGTAATCCTGGAGAATCCGGCCGACCTGGTTCCAAAGGTGAGTGAAAAACCATCATCCTTCAACACATCTGATCATTCAACCTCACATCTGTTTATGAATAACTAAATATTATATAATATTACATCCTTCCACTGACTCCTGTGTTTTGTTCTTCAGGTATACCTGGAGATAGCTTTGGTTATCCTGGAGGCCCAGGAGCTAAAGGCCAGCAAGGAGATTCAGGTTTCCCAGGTGAGACTCTCAATGCTTGGATAAAGTAAAACCAACCACCCCTTTACCTAGATATTTTTTTTTGCCTGTGGATGAATGAATGAAAAAGAAACGGCAGTTTAAGTCCACATTTCAGCTGCCCCCATACTGTGGTGACATGGATCTGGTTTTTATTCCCCCCTTATTACGGTGGATACCTCTAACACACTTTAATACGTCCCCTGCTCTACCAGACCTTCTGTTTGTTTCTCTTTTACCAGGTTTATACGCAGTGAATATTCAGTATCAAGTGTCGGTTTATGTTTCTGATGATTTTGTTTTGGCAAAGAGGTGATCTCCAGACTCCAGTTATAAAACATCTGGTAGATCAGAATCTGTTACCTATGAGATTGATTATCTCTCCTCAGGTGGTTCGGGTAGGGACGGCGCCCGTGGTGACAACGGCTTTCCCGGAAGTCCAGGTTTCCCTGGAGGAAAGGGAGCTCCTGGTGAAGCAGGACGGCCTGGATTAATGGGTGAGAGACACCGATCCTCAGACTTTCAACAAAATTAACCTCACAGTTGCCATATTAGGTCTCCACAGTCGGATATTAACATTTATCTCACCCCCTTTTTTGCAGGCTCCCCTGGTTTCCCCGGTCCAAAGGGTCAGTCCGGCTTCCCAGGTAGAAGAGGAGGAGATGGCACTCCTGGTTTCCCTGGAGGTCCTGGAGGACCTGGAGCTAAAGGTGAAAGAGACAACCACACGTGCAATTTGACTTTCTCTTTTCAAATAAGATGGTAGACGAACACTCACTCTGTTGTGTTTGTGCAGGTTTGCCTGGATCTCCTGGTTTGGATGGACTCAATGGCCTTGGTGGACCTAAAGGTCTCCCTGGAACCCCAGGCAAGGATATGATATGATACGAATCCTTTTTTGATAATTTAATGATGAGATATTTACATACTTTAACCACTTAACACCCACTCCTCTTTGAGACACAGTATTTTGTAGGTTCCTCTTATATTCTCAGCCATGTTTTGTACCTGGATTATTTTTTGAAATAACCACAATTATTTAAAAAATAAGAAAAATAAGAAAGATGAACTGCTGTTGAACATTTTGTTGTATTTGTGTCCAGGTGGAAGTATAGGAGGTCGCCCAGGTGCCCCTGGAATTCCAGGGTTGAAGGGAGAGAGAGGCGTCTCCTACCCAGGATCTCCAGGCTACCCCGGACCGAAGGGAGAGAGAGGACAGTCAGGTGAGACAGACTTAAAGGAAGTTAAAAGTGGTGGTTTGAATGTGGATTAAAAAGTATATAATATCAAAATCATGGCTGCTGATTTGTATTTGCGTGTATGTCAGGTGGTCCTGGACTCACAGGGTTCCCTGGTCTGCCCGGACCTCGTGGTGAGTCTGTGGGGTCAGATGTTCCTGGACCTCTGGGAGACCCCGGCCTCCCTGGACTGGATGGAGAGTATGGTAAATACATTTCCTGAGTCCAGTTTTCCTTTCCTTTCCTTTCCTTTCCTTTCCTTTCCTTTCCTTTCCTTTCCTCAACCCAGTTTCCTTTCTCCTCTCCTCTCCTTCTAACCCTTATCTACCTTCTCCTCCAGGTTTCCAAGGTCCTCCAGGTCCACCCGGGCCGCCCGGTCCAGGCACAGCCCAGGGAGACAGAGGTGACCCTGGGCTCCCGGGCTTCCCTGGCTCCCCTGGGAGGAAAGGAGATTCAGGAGGCCCCGGAGGCTCGGGAAGCCCCGGCTACCCCGGTGCCAAAGGTGAAGTGGAGTTCAAAAATATGACGGGAACCAAAAAAAACAAACAAAAACAGCCTGTGTTTCTTTTTGTTTCTTGTATAATATATAATGAAGTAAAACATTGTGTTTTTGCTTTTCAGGAGCACGAGGTGAGACTGGTTTCAGCGGAGGTCCTGGTCTGAAGGGTTTCTCAGGTGACCCTGGTTACTATGGATTCAAGGGAGCCAAGGGATTACAAGGTAGGAGAACTTTGGTGTTTCTACAAGTACAATTTCATAAGTGGATTGAGACGGAGCAGGAAATTAGTTACGTTTACTCCTGTGTGAACCTCCTCTTCAAACACCATCCCTCCACCCTCACCCGTCCTCCATCCTTGTCCTTCTCCGACCCCCTCCTCTCCAGGGCGTCCCGGTCGTAAGGGTTTCCCTGGAATCACGCTGCCTACACTACCGGGAAACATCACGCGATTCTTCGGAGAAGTTGGTTTCCCCGGTGAAAACGGAGCCACTGGCGTTATTGGAGAATCCGGTCAGCCTGGAGGCCCAGGACGTCCAGGTGAGTGGTGAATAAGTCCAGTGAATTAAGTGCAGTTAATCTAGTGTGCTTCACCATGCAGAGAGAGAAAGGAATATAACAATGAGGAATAGAAAAATAGAAATGAAAGGAAATGGCTGTGCATGCTCCTGTGTAAAATATTCCTCTGCTACAGGTGCTAAAGGTCGTCCTGGCGCTGTGGGTAAACTGGGCAGGACTGGATCTCCTGGTCTGGTTGGATCTGTTGGTGACTCTGGACCCCCTGGTTTCCCTGGACCTACTGGAGAGCAAGGTATGTAGTGTGTGTGCTTGTCTTCACTCTGTCTTTATCAAAAACGAAGCTTATAGCCAACTTTTAAAATTAAAAAATGTATTAAATTATAGCCTCACATTATTATTATTATTATTATATATTCACTTGTCAGTAATGCTTCATAAAGGCCAATATTTTTATTTTATATTTATAATAATGATGACTTTCTCTCGATTCTAACATCTTGTTTCCTCTTCCTCAGGTCTTCCCGGTACGGTCGGTCGTCCCGGCATTCCCGGCGGCGTCGGGCGCAGTCACAGCATCGGCTACACCCTGGTGAAGCACAGCCAGAACGCCCAGGTTCCCATGTGTCCTCAGGGCATGGCCAAACTGTGGGACGGATACAGCCTGCTGTACGTGGAGGGACAGGAGAAGGCACACAACCAGGATCTCGGTACGGAAACTCATTTTCTTTCGATTATGTGTTTGTCTGTGAAGTTGCAGATGTGATGTTGCAGGAACCACATTTATTTTCACATTGGAGACAAAATAAAAAAATGTCTAAATGTCACTCCAGGTCAGCCGGGGTCATGCCTCCCGAGGTTCAGCACCATCCCCTTCCTCTACTGCTCCCCCAACGAGGTCTGCTACTACGCCAGCCGCAACGACAAATCCTACTGGCTCTCCACAACCGCACCCATACCCATGATGCCTGTGGCCGAGCAGCAGATACAATCTTATATCAGCAGGTAGCGTGCCATGAAACTGTGAGGTCTGGGGTTCAGTTATATACAGCTTCACCCATCCGGTCCCGTCTGGGGTTTTTTTCTCAGTATTTGTAAAAGCGTTTGCTTCCTGTCCGATCCAGGTGTTCGGTTTGTGAGGCTCCATCTCAGGCCGTGGCGGTCCACAGTCAGGACATGACCATCCCCACCTGCCCCCCCGGCTGGAGGAGTCTCTGGATAGGATACTCCTTCCTGATGGTACGTCAAAAAAACTGGTGCTTCTAAAAACCAGGAAACAGTTACTAATTTAGCATCGCTGTTATTCTTTCAATTAATCATGTCATCTGAGAAATTAAAAAAACGACCCACCAACAACTTCAACTGTCCACAACATACGACAGACTTTAAGGCTGTACCAGACAAAAGACGACCAACGTGAAGAAACTTTGGTCCTGAACATAAGAAGGAAACTATATTTTGAGTGTTACATTTACATCCCTTTTTTTCACCGCCACAGCACACGGCGGCCGGCGCTGAGGGCGGCGGTCAGTCCCTGGTGTCCCCCGGCTCCTGCCTGGAGGATTTCCGTGCGACGCCGTTCATCGAGTGCAACGGGGCCAAGGGCTCCTGCCACTACTTTGCCAACAAGTACAGCTTCTGGCTCACCACCGTGGACCCCGGCCTGGAGTTCGTCTACTCGCCGACGCAGGAGACCCTGAAGGGAGGCCAGGAGCGCTCCAAAGTCAGCCGCTGCCAAGTCTGCAGCAAGCTCTTGTAGTAGGAGGAGGCGAAGGATGGAGGAGCGGAGGGATGGCGGGAGGGAAACATCAGGAGGTGACACACTAACACTTCAGAGGGAGGTGTTGAGAGGTGTTGATGATGGAGGATGAGATGGTTTTAAAAAGCAAGAACATGTGACTGACTGAAAATGAGCTCCTCTCCTGCTTCACTGATGGTTTCACAGCCGAGTCGAGCAACATCGCCCCGTTTTCAGAGTGTTTTATTTTTTATCCCATTTAGGAATCAATTGCTTATCAAAAAAAAAATAAAGAAGTGTTGGAGATAGGAAATGGAAAGAGAAGGGTTCTTCTCTCGATTATCACTGACAATGGTGCTATTGTTCTTTGTGTTGATTATTTTGTGTCTGTTTTCTCGTTACGGTTTTTGGCGAGAATCATTCTCGGCTACCTCGGAGAGTGCCACACCCTTGGGATAGCACTGCCCCGCCGCGCACACGTCAGGGTGGACATCTGCTCCAGATAAGTCAGATCAGAGAGTGAGGTCAGATATTGGTGTGACTCAAAGTTGGTTGAATCTAAGATCTTAACAGTGGGTGTTTAACGTTCTTTTCTGAGCTGGTTTAACTGAAGTAGATGGTACAAACACACAAACACATGCACACGCACACGCACACACACATTATTTCTTTTTTTTGTGAAATGGCCACCGTAAAACTTTGCTTCTTTTGTATTTACTGCCGGCTTCAACCAGTGTAACTGCAGTTATTTTACAGATTATGTTATGTTAGAAGCTGTCGCCACAGTCGTATCCTTTGTACTGACGACTTTTGTATGTTTTGCTTGAATAGCAACAGTGTATGGGTTGTCATTCATGTCACCATGGGTGTGAAAATCAAGTTGCAGAGACTCGAGACTTGCTTGAGGTAAAGAAAAGCATTACAGTCGACATATACTGCACTGTATTATTGTCATTTAAAGGAGCAAGTTTAGCTATTGCTACATTGCTAACGTTAGCATTAACAGCTGTTTACTTACCAGTCTTACCGAGAGCTTCAGCCATCGTTGCATTTACCAGAGGTTCTTCAGGGCAGACCGGACGCTATGGTGACTCGGTATTGGAAAGTGCTCATTGTTTTTTTTGTTTTTTTTAGGATTAGCTGGTTAGCATGCGAACTTCAGTAGAAGAAAAGAAGGTGATAGAATAGAAGCAAAAGAAAAGAGTTGCTTTCCACTGCTGGAGACAGCTCAGGAATGAAGTTTTGTTGCTGAACTCACAACATTTCTTCTAGACTGGCAACAGCTGTTAATGCTAACGTTAGCTATGTAGCTATGTAACATTTTCAGGTGTCTGCCATAAAATCCTAGATATTATTGGAGTTTTTAAAACAAGTCCTTCTTCTAACTTCAACATAACCGATGAAAAATGGCAACTGAATGTTCACTTTAAAGGATTTTTATTATTTCAAGCCAGTTACAATTCTCCATGAATTGATTTTCATAGCTGCGGGAAAATGATTGCAACCCGATGGCTGTCTGGAATTTAGGAAATGAGCAGAAAAGTTCATTCTCAACATTGGAAATGGTATTATGATTAAATAATCTGCACTCAAGGACCACTTACTCACTTTTTCTAGAGCTTTTGTTATGGGTTCTACCACCTGCTATTGAAGACTAAGCTATAAGTACATTTTGGAAAATGCTCAGCAACAGTATGATCTATGCATGATTCAGTTTTTGTGCAAAAAAAAAAACAAAACAAAAAAACATGCAGGACAACCAGTACAATCCTTTAAATCTACTATGCATTTTTCAGGTTTCACATACCTGTGATCTTTGCACAGTTCACAGTGTGACTCTGGTGCTACAAAACCCTGACAGTCGACTTGAAAGGCAACATTTCAGAACGTGTTCTCATTAAACTTCATGCAATAAAAAGCCAAGCCAGCACTTTTCCTCAAAACAGAACCTCTGCAACCGCTAACACCAGTAACACATGACTTGAATGAGACCACCCATTCATATATATATTGCACTGATGTGAACTCATATGGGTTAGAACAATAAACAAGTCAAATAAAAAGGGGCGTATTTACTCTAGATCTCCACTTTCATAGGCTTTTCATTGTTATGTTGTGACCAAACTAGTGTTTTTTTGTTTTTTTTATCACAGTAAACCCTTTATTCACATTAAATTTGCAACAGGAAACCAAACACACACTCTGATAGATTGTTAATTATTGCTGTATATAGTGCTTCCTGTATTTCCCAGCAAATTATGTTAGAGCAAAGGTCTATAATGCTGTTAGCTCCTTATTTTATTTTCATTTTTTTTCAGTCTCTGTGTCTTTTCACTGTCCTCGGATGATAAATAGGAAGAAATTACTAATTTTCTTGTTTCTTTCCATTGAATTTGGTTTTGCATTGTAGATTGAAAGTCTCACATCAGTCTACTCTCCTCTTGCGGTATTATCCCTGGACAGTGAAGGCTACTGCGTGACTTGTAACCACTATGACCACTGCGTCTAGCACATAGCTCTGTCTCTCTGCTGGTAGCCCTGATTTTATTCCTATGTCACATTTTACGTTTTGTTTTATTTTCCTCTTTTTTTGTCTGCATTTGTTGTTTTGTAATCTAGATTTGTAATTATTTTACTTATACTATCCCCTGGTTTTATTTACTGAGATGGGAGGGAATGGGAAGATAATGATGTGTACATTAAATATTATGGACAAAAAATGCCTTTAGGATGTTTTTATATGGAAAGTATATTCAAAGCTGATGATTTAACAGACATAACAACAGATTTTATTGTCTGATTGCTCTTTACCCCATGTTAAAAGCCAAGAGATAAAGCAACTTACTGTAAGTGGCTGGAGTGACAGAAAAGAAATGCAGTTTTTCCTCAAAGAGGATCTATAACAAAAAATGGTAATAAACATGTCTGTTACTGTCGTGTGTTTCTGTGCTCACACACTTTGAAATAAAGTTTCAAAACTAACAGAGAAATGCAGAATTATTATTTGTACGTCTCAGCCCTGTGTGGGGAACATCATGAAGATTTACTTGAGGAAATAAATAAGGTAAAATCAGTATTTTCAAGTGTTTGTAATGTTTGTTTTTATGTGTAACCTCCACTGAGGAGGTTTTGTTGTGCTTTAGTCAGTGTATAGATAATGTTTGGGATCATATTGCTGTGTGTCTGGCAAATCCAAATTAAAAAACATTAACACCTTTTAGTTTATTTTCATCGCCTTGTTATACGACCAAGCAGCTGTCATTATTGTCTTTATTACTGGGCTCTAGAGGGAAATAGATGCATGTCACCTTTAATATTTAATATCACTAATCTTGCTAGCCTTACTGAGAATAATACAGTTTCATACATGATGCACAACCGCTGACTTAAATCAAAAAAGATATTTTATTCTTTGATGCTAAATTCATATTTCACGAAAGGATTAGAAAGTTTAGAATTTGACTTTCTCAACAAAAATGATTAGAAACTTCATCATAATCCTCTGTTAATAAATCAAGATTAGTATTTCTGTCAAGTCAAAATTATGAAATAAGTCAACATTTACTATTAAAGTAAATTTATAAGTCAAAATAATTTGAAAAAACAACCTTTTGACACCATTAGTATGTTAATTTCTCACATTTCATCCCCTTTTTTTCTGCATGTAATAACTATAATATACAGGGACCAAGACCATAGACAAAGATTAGTAATAGTGTTAGCTTATTTAGTGGGTTTAAGATTATTTTTGGAGTTTGTTGTTATTTGTTTGGGCTTTTTCACACGGTAGGTGGAGGTAGACTTACAGAGCATTATACTCCCGAACGGTAGATGGCGACAATTCCCTTTCTTTTTAAACGTTGCTCTGAAGAAACAGAAGAAGCTAGCACAACAACAACACTGCTAGTAACGTTAGCTCGAAGGAAAGCGAAGTGTGTTTTTTTTCTTCTAAATTTGGAACATATAAACAGGTGGGTACCGTAACAGACAGCCAACAATGGGTCTAAATTAACATTTAATCAACGTGTGTGTGTTGCTAAAGTTGTTAAATCACGTATTAATCAGTTTCACCTGTGTGGAAAACCTTATCTTGCAAGCTAGCATTAGCTCCGCTAGCTTCTTAGCCTTTATCCTTATCGCCTGAAATATAATGTTTTATTTTGGCACAATCTGTTGATGTCGTCGTCGGGTAAGTGCAGGTAAATGTTTAATCATGATTTGCTGCCGTGTTCATGTTAGCAAGTGTGTTAATGCTGTAGGTAGCCGCTGCGGCTAATGATAGCTAACTACTGCTCGTTATTTTTTTTGCACAAATATACACATTTACACGATTATAACGTGAAGTAAGTAGCTTGAAACGAGTTTGCAACTTTGTCTGGAAATAAAGTTGGAGGTGTTCGGGTTTTGCCTGCAGGGTTCAGACGCTTAAAGTTGTGTAATGTTTGCTGTGAATAATGTAACATGTTCAGGTGAAAGTAGTTAGTGGTGTCTTTCTGATATATGCAAATAGTAGAAATTAGAAATTCTAATGGTAGAAATTGTTTTGTGAAATGTGAAACACCATATACAGTATGTCATTGTCATTTGCGGGGTAAATAATGGTGGCAACATGCACAGTTAAGTCTAAATGATACTAGGATTAAAAGAGTGCACAGACCAAGAAGGGTGATTTTAAGTTTGTTATCGTACAGGTGCAACTAGTAATCGATTATTCGATCGATTATTTACTCATCAGCTTCTCAAATGTCTGGATTTTACAATATCCTTTGTGTTATATTTAACTGAACATGTTTGGACTTTGGACTCTATTGAAATGAGCCGTTTTTAATGGGCCCTTTACACTATTTAATGACGTTTTATCATTTTATCAGTCCATTAATTTTAATAGGGCTTCAACAACAGATTATTTTTTACTATCAGTTACTTAGTGCGTTGTTTTCTTGATTAATGTGTTGATCATTTTGTCTATAAAATTTCATAAAATAGACAAAATGATTGTCAGATTGCTAATTTCCAAAGCCCAAGATGGTTTATTCAAATATAATAATTAACAGCAGTTTTACTACAATTTTTAGGAATACTTTTTGCCTCTTGATTTAATGGAGGTCCTCTGTCCTTACTGTGTCATGAAAACCAATGCAAACAAATGCATTATGTGTATGTAAATAAATGTATTTTGGGCAACTGGTGGAAAGTTTTTTTATTCATATTTTAGTGTACTTTTGGCCTGAGGTAATTTTGTATGGTTTAGGGCTGTAACAAAGGATTGGTTTCATTAATGATTAATCTTCATGTTATTTCCTTGATTAACTGATAGGTATTTAAAATGTCATTAAATAATGAAGAATGTATGTCACAGTGTCTTACAAACTAAAACCTTCTGTGTCTTAATCTTGAATATCATTCCAGTTGTATATTATATATCTTACTCTAATTCACTGTCAATACATATGCAGCTTATATAAATATACTCACTGTAGAATCTTGTCATGATCTGCTTTTCTATTCAGATTTATTTTAGTTTCTTGGAGCCTTTAGGAAAAGTGGGAATCAGCTTTAGCCTTGACTTCCTCTTTCTACCAAAATGTATATTAATATGACAGAGGCTCATATCGCAGGTTACAATGCTGTTTTAAACTACCACTTGGCCACTTAGACTTGACTACAATCGACCATGATTGGTTCTTGTTATTTTTCTGTTGATTCTGTTTATCTTTGTGCAGTTACAGACAATACTAAACACTTTATAGTTTTTTAGTTGTATTGCCTCATATCCTCTAAAACCCATGATTACAGTGTCTGTGCTGATGTAAATTTGTAATAACCAACAACAGCCACTAGAGGGTGCACATTGTCCATTTACCTCCACTTGTTGTCTCAGCAGAGATGCTGGTTATTAATCTGCCAATTACTCTCTTGATTAGACAGTTTGTTGTTTGGTTTATGAATTATCAGTAAATGCTAAAAAGATAAATTAAAAAAGAGCAATCACAGTTTCCCAGAGCTCAAGGGAATGTCTTGTCTTTTTTTGTCTCATCAATTGCCCGAAAGCTGAAAAATATTCAGTGTGGAAGGAAATAAAACAGGAAATGCTCACATTGTCTACTAATCTTTCCTCATAAAAAACCTCTCGGTCTTGTCATATGTTCATGACACTGAATCTCATCTCTTTTCCTCTTTGTCCCTCTTTGCAGGTACGCTGGAATTTTCTGACACCCACTCGGACATGTCCTATGTCTTCATCAACGACTCGTCGCAGACCAACGTGCCTCTGCTGCAGGCCTGCATCGATGGAGACCTGCCCTTCGCCAAGAGGCTCCTCGAGACGGGATGCGACCCCAACATCCGCGACAACCGGGGCCGCACGGGCCTGCACTTAGCCGCAGCCCGAGGTAACGTGGACATATGCCGCCTGCTGCACAAGTTCGGGGCCGATCTGTTGGCGACGGATTATCAAGGAAATACTGCGCTGCATCTGTGTGGGCATGTGGATACTATACAGTTCCTGGTGTCCAACGGGCTGAAGATTGATATCTGGTAAGAGACGTAATGATATCCGTTTAAGATTAAACTTATATGGTTGTTTTTGGGTTTTACCATTCAGTCTTTGCAGTTATATGTTCTCCTTCTATTTATTTAATCTCGTGTTGGCGGCCCTGCCCACAATCATATTCATTTGCATATATTTACCACAGTACAGTGCAGTTGTGGTATTGGCTGTGCATTTGCAAGGTGGTTAATAATGATAAAACATTTTGGCACCACTTTACAATGAAACTACCTTTACAAATGATTTATAAATGCGTTATAATTAGGTTTTATTAGGTTGTTGACGCTTTATTAATCATAAACCAAGTTTTAACACATTTTTTCATACATTGATGCAGGCTCACTATTTGGCAAGATCAAGTTAATGCTAATTACTCATTAATCCTACAATGACATTACTACCATACAGGTAAAAGGGAGCCTTGCTAACTAAGACTGTTTATCGATTATGAATCTAGTTGCTACTCTATTGACTAATCAATGCAGCTCTAATAAAACCCATTCTAAATCTCGACTGCAGCTATTCACACCACATGAAGCTGCATTTTCAAATATCCCTGGTTATTCTGGAGAAGAACTTATGCAGTACATCCATGTGTGAAGCTACTGGGAGACTTTGAAAGCACTTAAGTGGATGTTGGAGAAAGTCATATTTTCCTGGGACTGACAGAGTTATCTGACTCTATACATAGTTTAATGAGCTGAGGTGGTTATTGTTTGCCCACTGAACCAAATCTGATATTACATCGCTATGCAAAGCTTTGGTTTATTCCCCCGAGGGTGCAGAGTAAGTGTGCATAACGACCTCAAGCAGCCCATGACGCTGCATAAACACCAGTTTCACAGTCTGTAAATGTGTGTGTGGGAGGACATTTAAAGATGGGTGCTGTTGTATTGTGATGCTGTGAGACATCCCTTCCTGTTTATGTAAACCAAACAAAGGACAATCTTGGTGATTTTGTGGAATCTTATATGAGCAGTCAGACAGGTGAGCTGAATGTCTGCCACGCTGCCTTCTCCAGGGAGTTGCCTGTCCACAGAGGGTCGTCACTAAGCAACCGCAGTAGGGCTGTCGCATGTTACCATGACAAACAGGAATTTCAGGAATTTCTTCACCCCAGCACATGGCAAAAGTATTTCATTTAACCCACTTGGGACCACACCCAGGGCCTTTTCTATTCTCACCTTGATGTCCCTGTGTCACCCCTCGCTCACTGGATAAGGCTGCGTATGTGAAATCTTACACAAACATGGCTCAACTTGGTGCTGGAGGTGTTGTATTTATGTACATTATGTTGAGACCTGTTTTCTTAGCAAACATGTCCAGCTCAGGGTGGGTAATAACACTGCTATCTTTATTTAAAACACATCAGTAAATCTGTCACCATTAAAGACATGACTAATCTAAACTATTGGCCAACTGCTAGCACCTCAGTTGAGCTTCCTTTGATCCAACCTACACCAACGTAACAGCAACGTAACAGCGAGCCTCATTAAAGGAAAGCCTCCACTTTAGTTACAGCAGCAGAGGAGAGGGAAGACGAGAAGGACGTGTGTAAATGTGAGGTGGCAGGTTGTCAACTTGGCCGCTGAAATTACAGATATAAAATGTGGTTTCCTTTGACCACATTCACTTGAATAGACGTGTCAAATACAGTGACTAATGTTTCCGTACCTCAGCAGTCTAACAGTGCCGTGTCTGTTGCTTGTCCTGCATGACAGTAACCACAATGGGTCGACTCCCCTGGTGCTGGCGAAGAGACGCGGCGTCAACAAGGACGCCATCCGTCTGCTGGAGGGACTGGAGGAGCAGGAAGTGAAGGGCTTCAACAGAGGACCCCACTCCAAACTGGAGACCATGCAGATGGCCGACAGCGAGAGGTAAGCACGGATGAAAAGACTGAGGTATAGGGTTGGGCATCGTTTGGATTTTAACGATTCCGATTCTCAATATCGATTCCTGTTCTAAACAATTCTCGATTCCGATTCTTTGAGGCGCAGGAGAGAAAAAAAACAAGAGAATTTTCTCGTTTGAAAAAGCCTTTACACTGGCCATTTTTATTTATTCACATTGTCAGTTGACTTGACACAGTTTAATTTGGTTGCTGTACTCTAACTAGGGTATTCTATTAGAACGTATTACTGTAACTGTAAAACTGAATTCTGCTGAAATAACACTACAAGTTGGCAGCAGTCTTAAAAGCAAAGAGCTTTTAAGACCCCCATGTCATCTTCTTAATGGTTCCAGAACCGGTTCTCTGTGCCAAACCCTACTGAGGTATGTTGGGCTGGATGTGTGTGTGTGTGTGTGTGTGTGTGGGGGGGGGGGGGCTGATATCTTTTTTTCAGCTGCCTGCCCTTTGTTTGTTTTTGTGTGAGGGCAGTGATCAGCTTCATCCCGCTCCGTCTGCCACTTCTGAAACCGGTTCCTCGCTGCAACACTCTCTCTCTTCCTTTTGCTTCATGTATTTGAATTTGAAGCGGAAGTGGAAGTGTTTTCATGAGTCAGTGGTTAGAATGTGGTTATATGAACTTTCAGGCGATGATGTTCGAGTAGGTGTTCAGAAAATCTACATCAAGAGCTGGCACCAGATGCAAAGTCCAGATGTGTCATTTGTGTTTAAAGAATAGGTTCATGTTTTTCTAAATCTATTTTAATTAATTAACAGACTTGTTGGTCTCTGTGGTTGTCCGTCTTGTCCGTACCTTCTGTGAAGACGTCCCTTTCTAAAGCATTCCTGCTGTAACTAAATAACTGATGTATTTGGGAGCAGCGCAAAAAACAAGTTGTCAACACAGCACTGACATATCATCACCTTGTTGCCATGCTAAACTTGTCAGCAAACAGTTATGTACTTACACATCCAGCAGTTACGGGGCGAGATTATGATTCATTTGGAGTCATGTTTCTGGTCTAATTAGGGCATTGATACACCAGCTATATTGGTTAGCGAGGCTAAGGTGAATAAGATGCATACTCATTTGAATAATAAGCTTCATTAACCCTCAGCTGTTTGACTTTGCACTGTCACAAGTGACTCATGGATTACTCTGGGTTCACGACCTGTGGTTTTGATGTCAGTGGTAGACTGAGATAGATGTTCGGAAGTGGGAGTGTTTCTGTGTGACAGAAAAAAGACTTTTAGTTTCCAGATTAATAAACCTGGTATAATACACCAGAGTGCGTTTTCATGATTCAGATAAATGAACAGAACTTGATTATCCCAGCAGCTCTCTACCCCATGTTTGCTTTCTGAGCCTCAGTAAAAAGTATTTGCAACATGAAAAAGGTGATATGGATATTTTGTGTTTTGGGTGGTAATCCTGCTCTCAGTTTGGTAATACCTTCAGTGTTTTGGGACGTACAAACAGGTGGTGTAATGTCACTAATGCTACAACTTGAGCACCAATTATTTTACCCTTCAGATGTAAATTGGCACCATTAAAAGTGGTGAATTAGCCATCAGCTGTTCCTGTTTGCAGTGGATATACAGACAACGATCACCCTTTATGTGTGACTTCTTTTGATTGATATCAGAGATAATGACCAGAAAGTGAAACACAAAACTATAAATGTCTGATTTTAGATTTGAGTTGTGACTCAGAAAAGGAGTAATGATCTTTGTCACAGGTCGCTGTAGTCCTGACTCACAATGAGAAAATGTGATATGTGTTTTGTTGCTTAAATCCTTCGACAGCGAAGTACACTGGTGAGATTTGTCACTGCGCAAACAGCTGCTGACGCCCGTGAGTCCAACTGTGCTATCACCTTGTTTATGTTGTACTTAAGCTGGCAGAAAAACGAAAGAAGAGGAAGTGTCAGAGGAAGTGTCATAGTGCTGGTTTCATTTCCACAAATATCCAGCGGGGATGATTGACAGATGTGTAATGTCAATTATTTCAAGACACTGGTTTCTCAGGGGAGGACGCTGCTTTTTAACTCCTTTGCAAAGGTAAACGGGCCGGGGTGGATGTGGAGAGTTGACATTGTTAATTGAAGTAAGTTAACCTTGGGAAAAATCTTTAATGTCAGTAACATTAGTAATTTGCAAGCTTGAAGTTCACCAGGCATTTAAGTTATGCTGCTCGTGTTGTTTCACAAGACTTTTCATGGGACTGTATTCATAATTAATATTGAAGCCAAATCCATGAGAGGATGGGAAATAAGTGAGAGGAAGAACAGGGAAGAGACAGGCCACATGTTTTCATTAGGTTATGATCTGATGTGTGCGGATATAAGCCTATTAAATTATTAAATAAAATGAACAGAAACTTGGGTTTTATTCATAATTGACAGTGTTTATTATCACGACATGTTTGTTAGTTTTTATATAATACAATGCAAGTTTCTGTAAATACTTGAAAATGAAACATAATGTTGCATTATACAAAATAATTTCCATTTTTATTAGATAATTGTTTAAGCACACAAAATCAAAGTGAGGTGGTGTGAAAGAATGTGAACCACAACGTGCAGTTGTGTTATTCATCAAATATATTCTGTATTCATTTCTTTTCATCATTTTTGTGTGTTTTGTTAAATTACCACACCCCTGCCGCCTGTCACCTGTTTTTGTTCTGAGTTTACTCTACTGTTAAATATAGGCCAAATTAACAAGTGTCCCCCCCCCCCACCCCCACCCCCGTGTCTGTCCCAGTGCGATGGAGAGCCACTCCTTACTCAACCCCAACCTGCAGAGCAGTGAGGGCGTCCTGTCCAGCTTCAGGACGACCTGGCAGGAGTTTGTGGAGGACCTGGGCTTCTGGAGGGTGCTGCTGCTGCTTGTGGTGATCGCCCTCCTCTCCCTGGGCATCGCCTACTACGTCAGCGGGGTCCTGCCTTTCTCCACCAGCCAGCTGGAGCTGGTGCACTGAGGGAAGGGCAGGGACGAGGGTAGTGACGAACAAGCATGGGGTAGGCAGGTAGTAAAAGATAATGAAGTGAAGTTTTGCTTTCGGCTGTGTTTGTACACGACAGAAACTCTGATTTTTGTTCATTTGCAGCCCAGATCTTTTTTTTGTCTAAAAAGGGGAACATCATATTGTATTGTTAGTAACGTGTTTTTTTAAAAAGCAGTGATCCAAAAGTCACTTTCAATTTAAAAAAAAAAGCTACTTAAACAAGCAACTTGCAAGTTTAAGAGGTTGTGAGATGATTAACAGAAAGAGCCAGGACCAAGACTGAGAACACATGTTGGTCTTGTTATAATATTGTGTGACACCTCCCCTTTAAAAGTCACATTGCACAGTTTAATTTCCTTTTGAAAAAGTAGAGAAAAGTGAGAGGGTTTGGTTCCACTTTTTCAATTAAAAAAAACAAAACTTGCGATACTAAGCTTGAGATGTACGTAACATTTCTGTCTTTTACTTTGACGATTTAATAGAAAGATCCAGGCAGTAGCTTCTTCTGACTCGTAACCCACAGCAACTCTGTGAAACGTGTCCCCGACAGTTCACCCTGCTTTTGAAAATGTATTGACTCACAGCGAGAGGATATGATGCTTGTTTTCAGTCATACAATGACATTTCCTTGTTTCCTTTCCCTGTTACAAACTGTATATTGCCAATGTTTTCTATCTTTTATTTTGATAGTTTTCTTGTTTGTCCAATCTCTCAGTTGTGTTATTTATCAAATATATTCTCCATTAATGACCTTTCATATTGTATGTTTTGTTACAGTACTGCACCCTCCCCTCGCTGTCTCTAAAACTCTTATCATTGAATGAATATCTAATTCTGCCTGGAAGCAGTCTGGATGTGATAGGTGACGGCTGATTCACTGACTCTGTGCAGGAACGCTCTGTCGTCTGCTCCATACAGACCAGAGAAGCACCTTGACTGTGTGCCTTTTGAGAGAAAGCTTCATGTCTCACAACAGTTCATTGACATTCCTGCCTGAAGCACGCAGCCTTGTTGTAAACATCACAGAGGCACAATACTTATGATTATGGCAGCAGATTAACGGTTATTACTCGTTTTGTTGTATATTCATTAATGTCCTTGGAAAACCATGTAGATTTTATTTGTTGTAGCTTTTCCACTCTTGATTTTCTGTGAACAGTAACCTTTAAATGCTAATTTAATGTGGGAAATAAATAAAATCATGTGTATGAATGATTCTAATCTCCATTTAACGTCACTTGTTCAGTTCAGTAGCCCACTTCACTTGAGCCCTCAGTGTAATACCGTGAACTAGAGTTACCGCCTGGCAGTTGTATGCCTCCGCCACTCAGACTCCTTTCAGGTCACATGGCTGTTTATCCGGTTCCCTCAAGGTGTTACTGAGATCTCTCACACTCAGTGTTCCCTTCCAGTTTCTCGGTGCGTCGGCGTGGGTTTACTCCACGTGTCCCGGTTTCCTCCCACACTTTTCAATTTGTAACAATCGCACAGCAACTGTTTCTGTTATTATTGTGGTTCCCCCATCATTATTTTTCTGGTTTATATATTTTCATATTTGATTTAATTATCTTCCTTCATTTTTAGGTGCACAGTAGAAATACTGTGTGCGCGGGCTCTTTACCATAACGATAATCATAATATTTCAAGAAAGAAAGTCATTACATGAGAATAAAGTTCTAATTTTACGAGAAAAAATGGTATGAGAATAATATAATTTTAAAAAGAAAAGTATGAAGTAAGTGAAAAAATGATCTTTTTCTCAAAGTTTTATATTTTAATTCTTATTGTAATAAACTTATTATTAATAAATTAACATTAACATTGTACAATGTTCAGTTTAGAGCTCTTGGCCAGGGTCCCCAGGGGGTCTATAAACGACCCTGGACCTGACTCTGTTAATGTAGCAAATAAAGCCAAAGGCCACACACAGGAGGACCAGGACCACCACAGAAGCGCCTGCTGCGACTTCGCAGCTCGTCCATCCCGTCGCTGTGAGCTAAAGAGGGAGAGGACAAGAAGGAAAATAGAGGCATTCAGGGTTTCATTCAGACTCTAACAACTGTCACACTCTGTGGTGTGGATCTGATCCGGACTTACCTCGTTCACAGTCAGTCTCGTAGCTGCAGGAGTCCCCCTCTCTTTCTGTCCACCAACCTGGACATAGCAGCGGTAATCACCTCCATCCTCCGACCGAACCTGCCGGACAATCACCGAGAAGTCTCCACGTTCCAGGGCTTTAGCCAGTAGAGACACTCTCCCCTCAAACCCGGCTTCAGGTTTGATTTCACCGGAGGGGAAATTAGTCCCAAACACACGTTTCCCGTCTTTCTCCCACCACGCACTCTCCACCTTTTTATTTGTTTTTGTGAGGTAGTGACACTGCAGCATGACCGTTTGTCCCTCAGCAGCCTGCACTACATGGAAAGGTACAACATGTAATTCGGTCGGTGTCTCATCGCACTCACTGCCGGGTAGCTCATACAGCCCGCTGTCCATGATGTTCGTGTTCATCAAGGTGACCGTGTCGCCCTCATCCACCCTGTCTTCGTAGCCCGGCCCCGGGCTCCACGCGCCGTCCTGATAACGTGCCACCGTCCGATTGCTGTTATCGCAGCTCCGGTGAATCAGTTCAGCGTTTTCTTTGCTGCAGTTTCTAGTTGCTGGAAACGTAACGCTGTCTCCCAGAAGAACCTCGATAAGATCTGCAGACACAGCGGAGAGGAGGAGGGAGAACACAAGCCACAGGCAAAGCCTCGCTGTCTTCCTCAGTAGAAAGTCCATCGTGTGTGAAGCGCTTCAACAAACTCAGACGGTCGGAGTGGTTGGGCGTCTGCTCTCTCTCTCCCTCCCTTTCTCTCTCTCTCCCTTTCTCTCTCTCTCCCTTTCTCTCTCTCTTCCCTCCCTCTCTGCTTTTCTTTTATGACGGTGAACAGAGTAAAGACAGGCGTGCCCGTGTTTCTGCCGAGTTCCCCTTGTGTTTGGTCGTCTATGAAAATGAAGCTGGAGAATGAGTAAAATAAACAACGCCAAGAGAGAATGAGTGTGTGACAAAGTAAAAAATACTGTGTAAAACAGATTAAAATCATCTCAAACTTCAGGCACCCTCTAAAAACAATAGGCCTATTTAATGATTCAGACTCAGATCAATTTTCTTCAATTTCTCATAAAATATAATATATTTTATTTCTGTTAATTCCCCTCTAAAACACGGAACCCAAAATTACCACTTTATTTAGAATTACGACTTTTTTCTTTAAATATTATGATGATCATGATATAATTCTCAAGATTACAACTTTATTCCCGTAATTTCATTCTTTTTAACCCTCAAAGTTTCCTAATACTCCGTCATACAATAACAAGTAAAAGGCCAATAAGAACTTTATCAAACCACGTTCAACAAGCAACAAACAGGAAAGAGAGAAACTGTTGTGTTTTGTCTGAAGTCTCTCTGTGTATTTTACAGGTGATTAAGCAAACAGTGAACTGTGATGAAAAACTGTGCGCGTGCGCGTGTGCTCTGAGCTCGGATGATGTTCCACTCTTCTCTCTCCTCTTTCTCCTGCTGTTCTTACTCAGTTTTTTCTGCTGTTTATTGTGAAAATGAAGATGTATATGAAACAGCAGGTGATGAAAGAGTTGTAGATTAAATTAATCTATCAAAAACAAATCGATATCAAGTTTTTCTCATAATCCTTGTGTCATAATGTTACATTTTGTGTGCAGAGGTCAGACAGTAATTTCCGCCCCTTTACTTCCTGAAAAAATCACAAACACTGAGTCACAATTGATTTTTAAGTATTTATTACTGTTGAATATTTACACACACACCGGCTCTTCGTGTTGGTTTAGGCTCCCATTCCTCTGAGGACCAAGAGGACTCTGGTTAAGAAGTCCCATCTGCAAATCTGTCGCAGGTTTTTCATCGGTAGTCTCAGATGAGGCATTTGATCTGCATGTGCTGTTCAAGCACCAACCAACCCAAATACCTAAAGGGCCCATAATCACTGACGTCACCGAGACTGTTATTAAAATAATGCTCCAAGGTACCAGTCCTTTTTCCTCAGTGCTGTTCTGTGTGGGGTACGGAGGAGGGGGGGGGGGGCGCAAAGAGGAAACAGAAATTCATTTCAAGTAAGCCACCATGGGACTCTAGTTTTACACAGGGGCAGACTGGGGATGGTTGTTATATTTCTGTCTGTATCAATCTATAAATAGCAATACACCTCATATGCTACTATTTTGTAAATGTTTGTATTTATTATTTATCTTTCTAAGTATTTCTGTTTCATGTCAGTATATAGAGAACACAGGCCACACTCACAGCTGCAGATACCGACCTGCGGCTGCAGACAGTGTTTTCTCACACTGACTCTCACAACAGCAGGATTTTCCATCTCTCTGTTCCCGCTCTCATATCCTACGAAGCAGGAGTAGAGGCGTCCGTCCTCAGGGCCGGTGCGCATCACTGTCAGCGACAGGTTCCCGTGTGACCGCCACTCTGATGACAGAGACACCCGTCCCTCTGATCCAGTCCCGTATGTGGTGTATGTGGTGTTCCCGGAGGAGACGTTCATCTGTAACACCAGCTCTGCGTCTCTCTGCCACCGTATAAACTTCACTGGTTCACCATTAGTGAAGGAATGACACGGGAGAGTGACTGCTTCCCCCGCACACATAAAAACCTCGGTGACTGGAACAACCTTCACCGGCTTTGTAGTGACAACGCTGCCGCCGCACGTGAACTCATACTGGCCCATATCATTGAAGTTGACGTGTTTCAGGAGGACACCCGCCGATGAGCAGTTTTCAATCCGACCCTTGTAACTTTCCGCCGGGCGCCAGACGCCGTCAACGCGCCGTGCCACCACCACGGGTCGGTCATCTTTCAGCCGGCGATCCAGCTTCAGCTCCCCGTCTGAGCAGTTTTTATCCGGCTGTAACTCCACGGAGTTTCCCAGAGGAACGAATTCTCCAAATGTGCGCACGGCGGTGAGGAGAAGGACGAAGAAGACAGAGCACATGTGTGACTGAGCCATGCTCCGGCCAGGAAGTGCGACCAGCCGAGGCCCCGGAGGCGTTGGTCTCACACACCTCAGCTACGCCCTGATGCTGATGGCACCGCATATTTTATCAGCTGATAAACAGCGACATGTGGTGGACATGCTGCTGCAAACACATGCACTTTGCTTTTAATGATTAAGAACTTTATATAAACTTACTTCGAAATTATAACCACATTGTATGAACGTCTTTTTCTTTGTGTGTGTGTGTGTGTGTGTGTGTGTGTGTGTGTGTGTGTGTCTTTCTCCTGCTGTTCTTACTCAGTTTTATCTGCTGTTTATTGTGAAAATGAAGATGTATATGAAACAGCAGGTGATGAAAGAGTTGTAGATGAAACTACCAGACAGTAAACAGTTAGTGTTAGCATTAAAATGCTGCTGACATGTTCATCAAATACATCACATTGATCTCATCGTCCCTCTGAACTGTCCTCACTCACTGTTGGAGTCAAACTGACACATTGTGACTTCTGAAGTCAGTGAAGCTCTAAATTACATTTTTTAACAGGAAATGTCAGTAGAACAAAATTCATAAACATCATTGATGGAGAAACAAGGTGAGATTATCTCATGTTTAAACAACAGTTCACCTCAAAAACCTCCAAGGTTTGTTAGTTTCACCTGTGAGAGCCTGGACAAGTTTAATTTCAGGCAAAGAAATAGAAAAGAAGGAAGTGAATGAAAGAATATCACGTGGGGAGAGACTCTTCCCCTGAGTGAGACCTCTCCTCCCTGAACAGCAAAGATTCAGATGATTCAGTTACAGTCGTGCTGCCTTCACGGTCCTCCCTGAGCCGTGCTGCCTTCACGGTCCTCCCTGAGCTGAGGCAGAGCTTCTCTTTCTATATCACACATTTACAGGTGAAACACACACACAACCAGGTTTCTCTCTCTCTCTCTC